ATCCAAACATCAAATGCCAAAACCTCGTGTCAGCAGAAACACTGCTTGGTGTACTGCGGCGGGAATCATGGTACCACATTCCCCCCCTATGATTTTCGACAGCAGTACAACCAGCAGTGATCTCCACAGTGTCCAACATCATGCACAGCGTCCAACATCATGCCAATCGACACTCCGAACACGCAATTACCCGCCAGAAGCACCACGCAACGTCAGGAACGAGCTACCAGAAAGCAATACTCAGGGCCGTTTTAAACGGAGCACCTTCCCAAGTATTTGGAATGTTTCCAAATTTGGAAACTTTGCGCGGCGAGTTCGAACGTAATAACTTTGGAAACTTTCCAAAAATTTGGGAGCAACCAGTTTTGGGGCCCTGGTCACTTCCAATTTCCTTGAAAAATTTCCAAAGTTTTCGATGACTTGCAAATGTTTGGAATTCGGAAATTTGGAAAAAACAGCCATGATTAAAACGGCCCTAAGAAAGATTTAGACGCAAAGCGCCCACCCCAGTCTAAGACAATGCCGAACACCAATAGCCGACCCCCAACGAGACATTTAACATTTGAGGCCCTTCGCGCTAGAGAAACAATGCCAAGTGTCGGCTCGCAGGTAAAACGCGACCAGAACCACCGCCCTAAATTGCTCAAGCACTGACTTGGCAGGCAAAACGCGATCCGGTTAACTACGCATCCCAATAACACACAAAAGCCAAGTGCCATACCAACGCAGTACCCCCCACGTGCCGACATCGCAGTCGGTGACCAACCCCGTTCCTCGTTGCATCGTGATACAATCACCGATGTTCCCCCCAAACTCTAGACAAAGTAGTCCACAAGCCCACCAGTGCCAACACATGTATACCTACACTACAATACCCCGTCCCCCGAGCGTGCCTCCTTCATTTCATCCGTCAAGGCGAACGTCCCGTTATGTGCTACAGGTCAAGCACAAAAGCATAAACATACACTCATAAGCACCCAGCACATCGTCTACCAGCGTGTGCCCTATGCCAGTGAAAATCGACTGCCCGTACGATAAATGCGTTGCAAAAGTTCGGCAAGTGGCTGTGGCCAAACACCTGATCGACACAAATGCATCTTGAAAATAACCGGTCGTTGGAAAACACCCCCTGCTGCAACGTTCAATATCATCAAAAGTTCAGATTGCTTTGTGTACAACGAGCAACAGTGGTTGGCGACAAAGGTTTCCAGTGTCTCTGTCTACCATCACGACGGTACGCTTATCTGCAGCAAGCAATGATCAGTCCTTTGCAACAATACACACACAAACGAGAAATTGAACAGCAAAACATTTGACCACGATTGTCAACCAAAATTAGGCACTGCATCTAGAAAACGCTCAAAACAGAAAAAACTCGAAAGTTCCCCGCGTTGCGCCTCGGTCCAGCCTTGGAGTCTTCCGCCAACATGCCTTGGCGCCCAGCTCCCGTGGCCACCAGATCCTCCTCCGCTGCTCCACCCTCGAGCGCATGCGCCCCGGCCGTCGCCGCCCCAACGCCTTTCCACGGTCGAAAGGGGTTTCCACGCCCAGCACGCCCCCAGCAACCCTCGCCCTCAGCTGTTTGCCCGGGTCGAAGGGGCGCAGCGATGCTGCAAACCAGGCCACATCCAGCCCTCCGTCGCTGCTGCTGCCGCTGCTGGTGTTGTTGCTGTTCCGGTCGCCTATTTCCTCGGCGTATCGTCCACCACCAGATGCTTCGTTTCCCCGGGTCGAGGGAGCGGAGCGATGCTCCAAACCAGGCAACATCCCACCCCCTTCGTTCCCCTGCTGTTGCTGCGCTGCTGTTGCTGGCGCCGACCTCCTCGGCGTGCCTTCCACCATCACTGCTGCTGCTGCTGCTGTCGGTGTCGTCCGTCTGTTATGCCTCTTCCTGACGGATGTCGAGCAGTGGCTCGCCCCCCGATGGCGACATCCCCATCTCTCCCGGTGGGTGGTACTGCTGTTGCACAAGCGGTGTTGGCGACTCCATTATCGCCACGGACCTTTGCACCGTTGCCGCCGTGGCCGCCGTTGCCACGGACGCTGATCCCGCCGTTCCAACGGCCAACTCGGGCGCTCCGGCTGTTCAGCCCGCCCCCGCAGCGAGGAAAACACCGCCACCGGCCGCGTCCGCCGTCGCCGCTGGGGGCGCCGCCGATGTCACCGCTGCAGCCGCCACCGCGGGCTCTCCAGCCATTCTCTCCGCCGAAGCAGCAGGGAAAACACCACCACTCGCCGTATCCGCGGGTCAAGCCGCGAATACGGGCGCCCCAGAAAATGTGAAGGACCAGTCTGAAGCGATTGGAAACTCGTGGGGAATTCTTCTCGCGAAAGAAGAAGTCAACTCCACCTCTGCGGAAATGTCCCCCACAAGGGAGGAAGTCGTCGCAGGCGTCGTAACGGCGTTCACATGCTGGTGTGCCACTCCATCACCACGCATGACACAAATGTTTGAGATGTGGCCATATTCACCGCACGTGGAGCATTTACCCTCAAACTGCCTCGGTGTAGCACAGTGCATAGCAGTGTGTCCATGTTTCCACACCATGCACTGAACCCACTGGCATTCTCGGTTGAGGCGGCGAGTCCGGCTGATGGTACCCCGCGTTTTTCCCGCAGTCGTAACTCCCCCCAATCCCAAACTACGTCTTACCGTAGAAGGGTCACCGTGAGGCAGCACGAGGCAAGTACGGAAGCTGGTGGCGTTGATACGATTGGTGTCGATACGGCAGCCGCCGCGGAACACCATCCCCACGAAACAATTGTTGTTGCCGCTACGGGCGTTGCTGGAGAGGACCACCCCACTGCTGCTGCTCCTGCTGTGTCTGCTGATCATTGTAACCTCCTCCCTGTAGACTCCCAGCACAACCCATGAGCGCGTGACCCGTAGCCGTATGGACAGAAGGGTTCAAAGCAGTGTGCCGAGTTCTGCCGGTTTCCGAAAACTACGCACGCTATGCATCTCCAGCGAGAGTTCCAGGGCCAGGTGAAGTCGCCGCAGGTGCTGCCGCATTCCGCGCCAGAAACCGTACGATATTGGGTAAATGGACTCTCCCGCTGATTCTTGCGCGCATCGCTTTTTCTCATTCTGCAGCTCCTCCAGCGATGGCTGCTCTGGTTCGGTCATGTTTCACACGTCGACCTTCCTGAGGTACCAGCTCCAGAAGAAGTTGCTGATCACACACACACAACACACAGATTGGGCACAGCCACGCTACCGTTCCGAAAGTGATACGGCTCCCATATAATACCACCCACGCTGCTGTTCCGAAAGGGAGACGGTTCTAAGAAAAATGCCGCCCACGCTGCCGTTCCGGAAATTACACGGGCCCCCTCACAAGTTGTTCCGAAGCCCTAGAGGCTTCGGCGTTTGTCGCGGAAATTCTCAGACCTGTGTTCGATTTTGACCCCACTTTTTCCGACCCCACTGAAGTGTGACCCCATTCTCTGCATTTCACTTGGTTTTGTAGCAGGCGATCTCCGTTCTCTTCTCTGAAAGCAAGTTGTTTTTCTTCGGTCGATATTCATCGAGATTCCACGGACAGATTGTCGTGTGGGTTGGAAGAGGTGTCCCTCCTGGCCCCGTCCGCCACTCCTGGAAAGTTGGTGCAAAAGCTTGTGTCAGTTCTTGACAACGCGTCCGTTGTTGTATGTCTTGTCGTAGATCTCCCCCGTTCGAATGCGATCGACCGAACCACCCCCCCCCTCCTTCTCCATTTTGACTTACCCCCACTGGTCGTAACCGCTGCACGTCCGGGTAGTTCAGAACCGTGCAGGAAAGTCGACACAGCCCAAGGACACACCCCCAGGACACAGGTCCCGTCACCAATGCCTCAAACTTTCGCCGATAACCACTGTGTGTGACAAGGCAGTGCTCAGAGGCAGAGGACACCCCTCCACCACTCCACGAACCTCATCAGGACGTTGCGCGCACATTTTTTCCCCCTTCCAGACTGACTGGGGGACCACACAACTTTACAACATTCAGCATAGTTCGTGGACCACAGTACTCAGCATCTCGGCATACAGTTCGCTTGTACAATTTCCAGACTGACTGTGGACCATACACAGTCAGCATGATGTATGTATGCAGATGCCAGCATTTTCTCCTCTTGCCCTTCGTACACATGGCACACATCATACAAGAGGTCAATTCACCTCATCAGGATGTGCATCAACCAGGTACTATGTAGCTTAGGTACCATTTAGGTTGGACGTATTTATGTTTTCCTTGCAGACTGACTGCTGAGGACCACAGTCAGCAGACAGTGGCATTCGAATCTCTTGGCAGGGCGCATCCGCTGTCAACCATGATGGAACTTGTGTCGATACGCTATTCGACTGCCAACCATGGTGGGTGTACCGGTCATACGCCTTGACTTCCCGTCTGTCGCACACACCAAAGACTGCAGGGATCATGTAAGCCCTGCTTGTCGCCTTCGCGGCTCTCCTTTTCCTGTTGGCGTCGAGTCGTTTTCCAGACTGACTGTGGACCACACACAGTAGTCAGCATTTCAGCATGTACTTGTGGACCAGTTTGTTACTCAACATCTCAGCATAGAGTTCGCTTGGACAATTTCGAGACTGACTGTGAACCACACACAGTCAGCGACACCGGCCGGCCATGACCCATTCGGGACTGACCTCGGTCTGTCCCTGCCGTCGCACGGCAGCGCTCACTCGCGCTAGCTAGCGTTTGTTTCGCGACTTCCGAGTCCTTCACCCAATACCGTCTGGACATGGTTTGTACATACATGTTCGTCTTCCAGACACACACATACATGTATGGGAAGACATGTCAGGGTGTTGACGCCCATCCTTCTCCTTCTCCATCCCCCGGCTTCCTCACCCTACACACGTCTTTACAACTTCCCCCCCGGGAAAATGAAAAGAAATGGGCTTCAGTTGAGGCCGTGGCTCCCCGCGGGCTGTTATATGCTGTAGCACGTCTCGGAATTAGCATGTCTCGCCGCAAAAGACCTATGGACGGATTTCCTACGGGCTGAGGGCTCACGAGATTGCAGCATTTCCGATTCTGATGTTCTCGTGAGTCTAGAGCCCTTTTGTCACGGTTTCTCCGCCCCTACACCTCCTTTCGCCGCGGGATTCGCGCCTGCCGGTAGCCCTGGGCCGCGAGCGCCTCGCCCGTGGGCGGCTCGCTCACGTGGCGGCCGTCGCCAAGCGCTATCGAGGGCAGAAAGTTGCGTCTCTGAGATCGACCATGACTCCACCAATCAGACCCCGATTTCTTGACAGCAGCGCAGGCCAGTCACGCATTCGGCAAGCGGCTGGCCGTGGTACGTGTGCGCTGGCTACACACCCTCGCCACACGCGACAACAAACCAAGTCTCTGCAGGCATGAGACAAAGCACTCTGCTGCTGTAGTGCGTCTCTTTTTCGATCCCGACGAAAAAAAAAGCGGGGGGGTCAGCGGTTGGTGTCGTGCGCACAGCTGCTGAGCAAAACTACACCCGTCCGAGACAAAAAAAAAAACTCCTGATACGTTGTTGTGTCAGAAAAATTCTCCGTATTTCTGATGTTCTTTGCTTGTTTTTTTTTGCTTTTACTCAGCACGCACCGCAGAAGGAAGGTTGGGCACGAAAAGAAACAAAAAGAAGAAAAAGATTCTGGTGTTTACCCCCTCCTGCGTGACCCTGGATGGTTGTACCTGTACGAAAAAATACACTGAAAAGTGTAGTACTCTACATACACTGATATGTTTAGTGCATACACTGAAAAGTGTGGTACATGTCTTACCACGAAAAACGGGGGGACTGTCGCCGTATAAAATAAGTAGGACGAAAACACACGCACACTCAAAACGTGCTAAACAAGCTAACATGATTTGCGCGGCTGCTTCCCTCGCCTCCCGTACTCAACGCCGGTTCTCACCACCGACCGCTGTACATGCGATGAACACACCCTACAAGCAAAATTTGTTCGGCTGGCTGTACCGTCCGTCTGAGGGAGGGGGGGGGTAGCACACATAGGAGAGGGGGAAAGGAAGAGAGAAGCGAGCCATTGTTCCTTAACAAACAATTTCTTATTGAATTACTCTGTCCTCCGGCCGTCGCATCACTATAACTTAATTCATTGTGCGTCTCCGCTCTCTAACAAATGAGAACAAACACTTTTTCCTGTTCACAACAAC